CCCGCCCCAGGCGTTTTCTGGAGGCACAACTTGAGTTGGCTTCAGTGACGGGAGGGCCTCTTGGGGAGCAGCAAGTAAAAATACACGCGTGGCTGGGTTTATGTTTTCATTTTCAGTGCAGCGAAGTTTCCATCAGCTGCTTTTCTGCGACGGTCCGTGGTTCTATAATCATTCACCCGCTGGGGGCATTAGTGTAATTTTGAGAATGTGGTTGTCAGCTTAGGTTGCTGGAATGTGAGCACATCTGTTCCCACAGACGGGAGTTAGGGTGAAGGAAATGCTCTCACATGTTACCCTGGTGAGAGAGTAATTAGGTCCAGCATTTGTCTAACTATAGAGCTGTGCTAGTGTAACACCCTCATCACTTAGAATTAGAAGGAACAGGTTGGAATACAACTTGTTGAAGAGATAAAGTATCTTCATTTTTAATAAAAATGGACATTTGAAGGTTTGTGGCTTCAAATCACTATAGACTAAGCACCTAAGTAGCTTATCAAGCATTTTGAAGGGGGAAAATTACTTGAAAGATATTATTTCTATAAATTAAAATCTTCTCTACTAAACTAGATCCAATCAGCTGGCATGTTTTTGCAGCTAAGAAAATCAACACAGACTGTCAGTTCTTTTTCAGTCTGTATAGGATATCTGAGTTGCATTATTTACAACGTTTTAGAAAAGAAAGAGACTTCTAGTTAGAAGTTTGCAGGAAAATGAAGTGTTTGTGAGTTCAGCTCAGAGATCAATCATTACCAGACCTGGACATCTTAAAAACTCAAGAGCCTCTGGAAAGCAGCATTGGACGTGACAAGAATCTGACTCTTGTTCTTTTTGCAGTACAGCCCAGACAACGTGGCTGGAGCAGATGGCAGCATTGACCCCACTGAGATCACCTTTCCAGGATGTTCTTGTCGCAGCAGCTCCTGCGTGGCTCAGGTGTGCTCCTGTCTTGCCCATGGTGAGAACTACAGCAGCTTGTGCCTCAGGCCTACAGGCACAGAGCAGGGGTACTCCCGGCCCGTCTTCGAGTGCAACACCCTGTGCCAGTGTCAGGACTCCTGTCAGAACAGGGTTGTGCAGAGGGGCCTGCAGTTCAGGCTGGAGGTTTTCCAGACTGAGAAGAAAGGGTGGGGTCTTCGTACTCTGGAATTCATAGCTCAAGGAAGATTTGTTTGTGAGTATGCTGGTGAAGTTCTAGGCTTTCAGGAGGCACGGAGAAGAACTCAGGCCCAGACACCACAGGATTCCAACTACATCATAGCAGTGAGGGAGCACCTGCACAGTGGTGAGATAATGGAGACATTTGTTGACCCAACCTACATTGGTAACGTGGGCAGGTTCCTGAATCATTCTTGTGAGCCAAATTTATTTATGGTGCCAGTTCGAGTTGACTCAATGGTGCCTAAACTGGCACTTTTTGCAGCCACTGATATTTCTGCTGGAGAGGAACTGTCATTTGATTATTCTGGAAGATTCCATAATTTACCAATAAGTAACAGAGAACAAAACTCTTCAGAGGAAGATAGCAGACTGAGAAAACCTTGCTACTGTGGTTCCCCCACATGTGCTTCCTTCTTACCTTGGGACAGCTCCCTCTTTTCCTCACTGGACACTTGCTCAGGGAGCTCTCTATAGCCTTTCAGTTCCTAAGCATACCTAACAACTATCATTTTCCCTAGTAGTTAAAGTGCCATTAAATAAAACTGATTCCACCAAGGAAGCATGTGTGGTTCTGAGAAACATCTAGAAGACAAGATTGTAAGAATAACTTCATGCAACTTCCTAGAGACAGTTTTCAAGGTGGATGGTATGATAGAAGTGAGCACTGGAGCTTCAGGATATTCCAAAATCCACTACCAAGCCAGGAATGGTGATTTTTTTCTGGTTTTCCTCTGCCAAGTTGCTGGATGGTAAAGCAGCTCTCAGTCTGTACCTTTCAGAAAGAATGAACTTGAACATTGGTACACAGAAAGGACATGTGGTAACAGGGAGAAGTGTCACTGAAAGTTACACAAGAGAATGACAACAAGGAACATTGGTATTTGTGAGGACATCAGGTTTCTTAAATCCTATTAAAATAAATTATATTTGTTTTATTACTTGCTCTATTTTTTTTCTCTCCACAAAAACGTAATTATTATGTATGTAAAAAACTTGTTGAGAAGGATCAGCCTGAGTGCTTCATCCCCCACTGTTTTCCATCCCCAGTCACATCTAGCTTCACACCAAAATCTGATTTTCAGTGACTAGTTCAGTTTTATCACCATTTAGCTGGTGTAAACAGACCTGCAGTCTCTGAGAAGTACAATCATCTTTTTTTAAAAAAAAATTACACCTATCTTAAGGCTCATCTAATTAGACATTGGCAATAACAGCAAGCAACACATCCATGGTACTTTCCAGCACAGTCATTGCACACTCAGGCAAATTCAGACCCTGCAGTCTAGAGCAGTATCCTGCTGCTGTTCCAACTGCTGAGAGGGATTGAAGGAGGAAACAGAACAGCACATCTGAACACCAGACTTGACTTTTTACATTGTTGAACAGTTGGCCTAGCCCTGAGTGTTCCTTTCAGCTACAAGCTGGTCTCTGTTCACTGTTCTCCAGAGCCAGGCAGTGTTAAACAAGGCCTGTCCTTTCCCAACAGAGAGAGGTCAGTGTCTCTTCTCACCATTCTTGCACAGACCCAACATGTGCAGCTTTGCTGAGCATCTCCTTACAGCAGGGACCCACCAGGGAGCCTGTTGGATGGGGCATGTGCTGCAACTGACTGCACATCCCTTCCTTGCTACAACCACTAAATCAAGAAAGCTTCAAACAAGCTTGTTTTGGATTTCCCCCACCTTTGATAAGTGACAGATAAGATGCACTGCTGCTTTTTACAACAATGCCACAATGTGCCAGTGGCACAAACCCTGGGTTATTCCTGTGCTGTTTGATGACCTTGGATGTAACATACACAAGGCAGCACATCTCGGGGTGATGCAGGCCATTGGCCACTTTTTTTTTTAATAAAAGAGAACTTTGCTTTGGACCTGAAAGATTAACCTGATACTGACATGGGATAAGAGATATTTTGCTGATATTTTGCCATTTGCTAAACAAAATCTTACTGTGTTTACATGCACTTTGTGTTTACCTGTTCTTCCTTGGTAAGTTTCAGCATTAGTTGTTCCCTATTTACTATGTATCTTCGTGCTTCTGCTATGAAGAACTGGTGAGCTTTACCTATGGCTGTGGTTTCAATTTAAGACAAATATCACCAGGGGTTAATGATTAAGTGTCATTCGTACCAGCACAGAAAGTTTCCAGAGGATTTTAGCAGCTTGTCAGCAGTAGGGAACAAGCTGCATGGTCATTACCTTTATTCCTGGCCTGATGAAGGGTCCCTGCTTCTGCAGAAGAGCTCTCCAGGCCCAGTAACCCAGAATGCACCCTGCACTAGATAACAGAGCACAGTTCAGGTTGCAAGTTCTCCTCTCCTACTTAAAGGCTTATCTGGTTTTCTTCCCCTCAAGGCATCTGGCCAGCCACCTTCAGCTTGCAGGACTGAAGGGCTGGGAGTGGAGGATCCAGTCGACTTCCTCTCTCCATCCTGGAAAAGATTCAGGACTAGTTTTATACCACCTGTATTCCTATTCCTCTAGATTAGATGGGTTTTCAAGATGACAGCACTGTTTCTTACCTTCCTGTTATGAATAGGTACTTGGCATGATTTTGAGTAGTTAAGGAAGTATAGATTTAAAAAAAAAAAAATAGCCCCAAACAGAACCTCCCAAACACCATGAGCCATATCTAGTCCTTGCATCACAAGCCTTAAACCAGAGAGCACAACCCAGCCTTCTGTCCCCATGCAATCCTACCCTTCAGGCCCAGCTGCTGCCCACAGCCTGGCACAGAAATTACCAGATACTGTGCTCTGGTATGAGTGACAGTGCAAAACACTTGGTGAAAGGCTTGAAATACATGTGGATTCCAAAATGAGGGAGCTGTCATTATTCCTATTTCCTTTCCAGCTCGCTAAAATTGCTCTCCTTTTAAGAGGGATTTCTTTTTTTCTTTTTAAAGAAAAAGTTTCAAAATTTACCTTACTAGGCTTTAGGGCTCAGAGTTACCTCTGATCTCACTTCAATGGTCTTTTATTTGTGTGTAATCATTTGTTAGCTTCTGTTTCTAACAATGCCATTTTTGCAACTGTCAAGTCCCCAAAGTAAGCCTACCCCATGTGCAGGACAAAGGAAGCCACCAGTGTTCTTCCATGGATAGGAGTCCTCAGCATAAAGAAATCCTTGCATTTTTATTCAAATATGTACAACATTTTTAATCATCACCTGAGGATTATCATCCCTCAGTTGCAGAAGGCACTTTCTAAAGATAAGCAAGTATCTCAGCAGAAGCAGCACATTTCAGGACCTGATTTTCACTGCAACAGGAATGTAACACAAGGGCTACACAAACTGCAGCTGTCTGTCCTCCAGTCCTTGTCTGTCCTTCAACTTCCTTTAAAGCTGTCTAGAAGTTGGTAAAGTCCTGGTTTATTAGATTCAAGTGTAGAAATTCCAGCTATACATAAATAAAACCAAGATCTTTTCTAAAGGAGCTATTCATCAACCTTTTAAAAAGCAATTGGCATGTTTCTGCTCATTTTTGGGCTCACTGGCTCCAGGATGCTCTTGCTAAAACCAACGGAACTCCCTGAGAAAACGTTTGGTCAGGATCAAAGCCCAGGCCAGCTTCCCCAGAGAGAAATACAGGAAAGTTCTTTGAGCAGTTCTGAGGAATGTTGAATTCTTTCCCCCAGGCAGGCAGTTCAAGTACTAGATTTCTCTCTTCTGTGCCATCATCAAGTGCCACTGCACAGCTGTGTCCCTCCTTGGGTGGGATGCAGCCCCTCAGGCGGTGTCCGCGGCGCAGCGGAAGCCCAGGTTGGAGGCAGAGCTGTCAGGAGTGTTCTGGCTGCGGGCTGCACAGCGGTACCTGTAGCAGTAGGACTGCCAAGAGAGAAGAGAACTTCAGAGTACAGCTTGGGCTTCCTGAGGCAGGAGCTTGGTAGGTTAATAGGGCACAGCATTTCAAATATTGTCAGATCAATGAGCTGGTACTCAGCTCAACCTCACCGTGAGATCAACCTCACCATGCTAGAAAATAGAAATAAAAGGAAAAAAGGTCATTTGAATGGCAAAGTGTCTGATGACATGAGCATCACACACCCTGTGCTGGGACAAAGCTGGGGTGACCATTCTGCTGCTCCTCAAAGGAAGGGAAAGCATCTTAAAACTCCCCTTCAGGAGTTTGGACACAGCTACTAAACAGTCCAGTTGGTACAACTGTGAGGGCTGTCATCAAGGGAACAGCCCTGTGAACCAGCCACCCCAGCAGAAGCAGCAGGTCACTGATGGTGATCTCCAGGAGTGAACAGGATCTCCACCTAAGAAGGTTCCAACAGCAGCTCCTCACCTGCTCTGGGATAGCAGAGCCAGAAAGGAGCTGCTGCCCTCTCTCACCAAAGAGCTCTACCCTACCCCTTAAAAGCACAGCACAGGACTTAGCCCCTGAACTATTTGGAAAATAAAAGTGTACAAGTGAAAAGGTGCAAACTTTAGCCTGTGTCACCTCAGAGGTGGAACAGAAGCAGAACAGATTAGTCTGAATAGATTTGTAGGCACCAAAGAAGAAGCCCTTGTACTGATAGTGTTCAGTGGGGTTTGTCATCTTGATACACAGCCTAGTTTTATCACCTACAAAAAAAGATTAGGACAGACTAGAATCTTCACAAGCCTTTAAAATGGGTCACGTTATTCATCACTGTAGAAGGATCTATTCCAGTGTTAATTTAATCAAAACTGCTAATTAACATCTGACATTGATTTCACCTAAGAAAGAAATCAGTGTAGAAAATGGGATCTCAGTGTAGAAAACGTAATCTAATTATGACAATCATTTGCCAGCTGCAGGCTTTGAAAGGGAAAAAGAACAGGGCAGCTTTAATGAGAAAGGAGATCCACAATGAGCATTGTTTCCAATGCTGTATGAAGAGAGTTTAAAACATGATTTGTGTCATGAACAACTATTGCTTTGTTTCAATGCAGAAAGACTTTCAAGTCTGCTGTCAGCTTAGCTAAAACACTCCTCTCCCAGCAATCCTCCAGCAAGCACCTGGTACCCTTTCCGGTCATTCTGAAACTACAACAGTCACATTCATGCTTTCTGCTCTGACAAGTGCCACCCAAGCACTATAATAAATACAGCATTAGAAACAAACATCACCTTGAACTTCTATATCTAAAAACATACTGGCTCCAGTAATTTCTTTGTTTGCTTTTATTCCAAGCTAATAAAAAGTAATTCCTTAAGGCCATTAGGTATTGCTCTTCCCTAAATTGCATGAAACCCCTTAACAAGCACCCAGGCTGCCAGGAAACTGTCAGAAGATCATTTCCTTGTCAAGTCAGGTACTTTCTGAGGAAGGGTCAATATGGAAACCCTGCAGGCCTGTTCACATTACCTTATGGCACATGTAGGATCCACCCTTCTTCACTCTGTCTGTCCCTGATGAGGGTCCTTTCTGTGGAGAAGAGAACATGTTGGCATTCAAGGAATAACAACTGCCAATGACAGGGGAAAGGCAAAATGCTGCAAGAACAGGAAGATGGAGAAGGAGCAGCCATAAATATTCAAAGTAAGTAAATTTCAACTCTGTCTGAACCAGAAAGCTTGAAATAGTTATGTTGTAAAAGACTTGCAGACAGGTGAGAGCAATTGTCTCCCTCCCCACTGCTGCAAATATTTAACATCCAAGTTGCTGCCACTGGCTAAGAGTGCCTGTTTCTGGAGAGCATCTGGTAAAAGGCTGTAAAGAGCAGAGTGGCAATCTTGAGTGATGAGCTTGGAAAAGTCTGTAAATTCAGACATGTCCTAAGGAGACATGAGGAATGTCACACACTGACCTCCAGGTGTAATGGAAACTGATTCTCAGTTCCACAGCTATGAGACAAACACTTAGAAACCCATGAGCCTCCAAAAGGAATTCAGAGAACCTCCACTTCCCTAGATGCAGATACACTGCTTGGAGACCAGCTGTGATAAGGGTCTGCAGTGCCCCATGTTTGGTGCTTATTCTCTTTCCAGTCCAAGATCCAGTCTGAAACACAAGTTGGTGACTACGTAGGAAGACATTCTGTATCATTTCCCAGTCACTGTGCCCTAAATTTGCTGTAATGTGGGATCATGACAGCTAAAGAGGTCTGCAGAAAGCACTGCACTTAACAGCAACAAATGTAATTGTGTGCACATTTTCAGTGTATGTGATTTACTTGAAGTGCTTACAAAATTGGCCCTAGAATTGATTTAACAAGGTTATTTCACTATTCTTTTTCAACTCCAACTCCAAAACATGGCCTAATAGTTCAAGTGAAAAGCTGGGCTTCCTTGATAACACACTCTTGCTTGCTTGGATGCCTGTTTATTACCCAGGCAAGCAATTCCTCACTTCATTCCTCCCAGCAAGCAAGGTTACTGCTGCACTCATCTACCCCTTAGAGACTCCTGCTCTACCTCATGTTCCTGCTGGGGCTGCCAAGTCTTCTGACATGCTTTCTACACTCCAAGTGCATGAGACTCCTTTTAGGAAGGAGCCACAAGAATATCCATCTTATAGAAGAGACAAACAAGATCGAGCAAATAAATTGTGCTTTATTGGTCAACTGGCAAGCCCAGCCTAGAAGTTAGTCCTGCCAGTAAGAATCCTCTCACAGTTGTAAGACTTGCATATGTTTCTGTACATCACACTAGTGTGCAGCAAAAACCACTTTCTTATCATGCACAAGCTTCCAACAAAGAATTTTCATTTCACTCGAGGTACAAACTGTTGTCTCTTCACTGGTTGCTGGGGTGTACAAATCAAGTCTATATTTCTAGACAAAACCTTACCAGAAGAATTTGTGGAATACAGGAAGAAAAAAAGAAAGAGTCACAATGTTCACCAAACCCCTGCATCTTCTGCTAAGAGCATTCACTACCTTGATCAACAAATACAGGTCATAAGAGAGTCATCAGCTCAGGTTTTAGCAGTGAGGGGAAAAGAATTCATTGCTACAAACTAAACTGTGCAAAGGATACAAACTAACTCCCAACAACAAAAAAACCCAAACATTTAAAAAGTACCATGATAGGTTAAACACAGAAAACTGCAAAGAAGTTTCTGCCAGTGACTTCGTCTCCCCTGGCCCAGACATTTAGCCTGGAAAGACCTGAGGGGAGCTGTGCTTTCTGCAAAGCCTTAAGAACAACACCTCGACCAATATAAATGCAGTTAGCAAAGAAAAATCTGGCTTCAGGAGTAACCCCTGAACCCAGGAATCATTTTGTGTGAAGAGGCAGGTTCCTAAAGAGGGGATTTCACAGGGAATGACAACTCTCTCCTGCTTTCCCCCCCTCGGCACCCACTGATCTGACCAGTTTGGTTGCACCTGGTCACCACACTGCCCTGGTTCTAGAAGAGTCAACACAGGACAATTATTTGGAACATACAATATAAAGCACAGGAACTGTAAGAAAACCCTGAAAGTTGATGCTACAGAAAGCATTGGCTGCATCCACCAAGTCTGACTGCTTTGAGGTCCTCCTATCCAAAGCTCACCCCACACTGAAACTTCAGCAGTTTCACATTTACTGTGAAATTAGACATGAGATAGGCTAAATGAATTCATTTGCTTACTCCTGTATCTGATACCCTGCAAATACTCCAGGGAAACCACACCCAGAGGCAGTGCCTGCTCCTCCACAGGACAGGATCACTCCATTTCCAGTCTGGAAATTGTCTCCACAGAACTTGCCTGTAGACACAGGGAGCCCCTAAGCCCCTAACAAGCACAATCAACTCCAGCAGCCTGTTAATCTCATTTTAAGGGAAGCCAGGAGAAAGGCAGCCAGAATAAAACTGACCTAAATAAAAGCTACGTGGGAACAAAACAAAACAGAGAACAATGGAGCTGTTGGAGTGGGATTTCCCATTAAACGTTGTAATGCAAATACAAGGCAGCAATGTTTGCTACTAGATCCAAAGTAACTTTTATAAGCTAAAAGAAGCATGATAATTCAGGATGAGGAGATTTACTGTCCAACCAGAAGACTGTCATATGTTTCAACAATTACACAGGGATAACATACACTGAAGAAGCATGTGAAGCTCCTTTTTATTAGTCACAAATACTTTCTACCAGACAAAAACTGAACATCCAAGATGATTTGGTAACAAAAAGCCAACCTAAACTGAACCCCCTCAGCCTCTGAACAGGACTACAGCACTGGAACAATTTATCACCTGCAAAACTCTGATGCAGTGCTCTCTGATGCTTGCTCTCCATTAATCTGTTCTATTGCAAAACATTTAAATTATTTACCTTCAGTGATTTTATCATAAAGCAACTGGCAAAGTTCTTGGAAAAGCAGAAAACAACTAGACAATAGTTGGAGAAGGAATCACAGCCTGTTTGACAGCTGTCTATGGGCCATGTTTAAGTCTCTTGCTGTGAACATTTCCCTGTCTTGCTCTACAGTTTAGCAGAGGAAATAATAAAAGAAAGTTGGGTAACCAGATTTCCCCATAGCTGTGCCCAGACACTTCCCCAGGTACAAAATCCCAAGCACAAGAAGCTGGATGCAGAAGTCCAACTCAGTTGATATCGTCTCTGGTCAGAGTCCTTTTCTCTGGGAGGTGTCTCTCCCACCCACACCATTTGCTTCAGCTTTCCCCAGTGTCACCAAGAGCATCAGCAGCCCTTGCAGATGGAGAACAGCAACCTCGCTCCTGTCCGAGCACTGGCTGCTTAGAAACCACTGAAAAAAAACCAACCAACCCCCCAAAACTTCACTGCTGTGTCTTCCACAGAACTCCACAGACCTGCCCAGTGTGGCATCCTGAAAAGCCAAGATTGCCCCAGCCAACAGCTCTTCCAGAACCATGCAGGTACTTCACACACCTGGTGAAGCACAGTGTGCACACACCAGCTTTGGCCACACCACAGTCCTCATAAATAAAAAAAGGAGAAAGCCTGCAATGTTAGTATTTGCTTATGATTGTACCTTCCTTACAGATAAAGGAAACCTGCTTTGATCCTGCTTTCCCACAATAAAAACTAATCAGAGCATGGCAATTGAGGTCATATTTGATTAAAACACACAATTCTTCCTTCCATCAAACAATATTGGTTTGTGCCATTATCTGGAGAAGAGCAGCACCTGGGACTGCAGTGGGAGAACATTTGCTGGGTGTGCAGAGCCAGAGCTGCCCAGACTCCAATCCCAGAATTAAAGAACAGAATTTAATGTATATTGACAAGGTTGTTTTGTAGTAGAATGTTGTAACAGACATATTATAGTCTGATTGCATAATTACAAAGTGGTTGTGCATTCCATTACCAAAGCTTATAAGTAGGATTATTATTTAAAGCGTTATTAAAACATCACAGAAGCTTTGCCCTTTTTTTCAAATTAAGTTGTATTTCTTCCCTTACATCAAACAAATGCTTTCTGAAGTTGCATCATAATTTTCTATGCACAGTCAGCTACTCAGCCACTCTGGTTTCAGTTAAATCAGTTTTCCAGCAGAGAACTGCAGGTTATAAGAAACTCTGCACTGTATAGAAAAAGTCCCAAGTCAGAAGTCACCACAATTAAACCAGCTCCATAAAGGGATTGAGGTTTAATTGATCTCACACATACAAAAACAAATCCTGGTGCTTCCTTTTTTATGGGTTCATCTTAGCTGTGGATTTTTTCCACTCATAAGAAAAAACAGGGAGACTTTCATTTGCTCAAGGGAAAAATGAGCAGAGCCATTTGCAGCTCACTACACAAGCTGATGAGAATTAGAACACAAACTAAGGGTCACCCACTCCTTATGCTTTGAACAAGCCACTACTGCTGTAGAAATAAATGTCTGGAGTAAAATAGTTGAGACTTAGTTGTAGAAATGTCTAATTAAGTTCTTAAAGAAAGCTCTGTACAAACCAATGCCTAGTTATATTACACTCTGCTCTGAGGAGTTACATCCAGAAGACATCATGACAGCTTTCAATGCCACCAACTTGGAAGTTCTGGCTGCAGCCCCAAACCTCACTACTGCTGAGAGCATCCCGTGCTCCTGGCACTTCCTGCCTTGGAACTGCAAGGACACAGCCCCAGGCTTTGCACTCTAGACACCTCTTGAGCTGCATAAAAAGCTTTCAGCTCTGTTTCTTTGGCTTCAGTGCTTACCTGGCACAGGTTCTATGCCTGGAAAAGATGAGGAAGAACAATGTTTGTTCTGTTGTTCAAGCATCATTTAAACCTAATGCTTTAGAAAGTAGCAAACAACTCAAAGCACTTTAAGGTGTCCCAGTTTATTTTTGCTCTTGGTAATTACTTGTGAACACAAGCTGATCAGTGGTGGGGGGAATGAATCTGTGTAACCAATTCACAGTATACCCAAAAATCTCTCCAGTACTAAAAAACTGCTCTGAAGACCTCTAGATTTTAAACTAAAAAATGTTAAAAAAACTTTCACTAAGCTCTGACCCTCTAGAAGAATTCCTCAGTCTTCTAGGCAGAAAGAAGACATCCTATATATAGGTTACACTGACTTGTACTCTGGAGAGACTTAAGAGATTGGCTCTGATAGATCTGGTGCTAATCATTTTTAATGTCTCAGAAGATACTGCAGCCTGGCTATTTTGGGACATCTTTTCACATTATGAGATTCAGTTTCTTTATCCATTTCACCAGAAAAACCCACTGACACTCACTTTGAAAGCTCTGCCTCAGCCATTAGATTCTGACAATTAGTTTCCAACTGAAAAAACCTAAAAGCATTGTTGTTAACACCCAATTTTTAAATACTTTCTGAAATGTCTGCAAGACATTTGTGCTGAACTAAAAAACCCAAGCAAACTCACAGCTACTGAAGTTTAACAGAGCAGAAGCCACAAAACATTTTTCTCACCACCACACTGATTCAACACTAAAGCACTTGCTGGACTGACATTACAGACACAAAGATCTCATTTAAATAAGTCACTGCAATGAAGGTGCATCACTTAAGCAAAAGGATTCTTTTTTTCCCCAGCATCATACCACAGTAGCAGTAATTCAACAAAATACACCATTCTAGCTGGCTGGATTTTGTGTAGCATGGACA